AACCTTCATCATATGGTTGAAATGAATGGCTTGATGGAAGCCCAGAAGAGCTAATCTGTAGCTGCCTCAAAGCTTTTCATCTCAGTAAATAAACTGAGCACGCTTTGGATAGTTTATTTTTATTACATTTATATCCATTTATATCCCATGTTTCTTCCACCACAGAAATCAAGACGAAATGTTTGTGGCTTTCCCAACCAGTTTCCATTCAAGCACTGATTAGATCTCAGATCTGCTTCATACAGTTAGGGAGCTGACAGAGGCCACTTAAGCCATCAAGTCTAATCTCCTGTTTAGATTGTTTGTTGCCACTGAATTGAGTTCAGTTCCAGATAACTATGATGCTTATCATCTTCTTTTCTCTTTAGTAGTAATTCATAGTGCTTCAAAGACAAGCCAGTAATTCTTCTGAACCCATCCATCTATCTTATCTGTTGGCTTTCTTTTCTATTTCCCTCCTCCCCCATTATCCCTTAATATCGTCAAGTATGGTAATTTTTTTAGTCCATTATTCACTCACATGTCCAATATGTGTGCTTGCTGATGACTGCCTCCAAGAACAGTCTACCTTTACGTGGTCCTGGTCTAGTTCTTCTTGCAGTCCATGGTATGTTTACAGACCATCTCCAAATCCATGTTCCAAAGAGATCTATCTTCTTTCTCTTGCTTTTTCACAGCTATGTATTACTACCAAAAAGATCCTTTCTTTAACTATTAGCCTGAAATGTCCTTATCCTCTATAATTTTTTTGTGGCTTTCCCAACCAGACACAAAATCTGTCATTGCCTTCCTCCTTAGAATTAGTCTCCTCTTTACTTCTCCAGCACACTGTCCATATTTATTTAAGCCCCCAAACCCAAAACTATTTACCTCTTCACTTCTTCACCATCCAGTGTACATATTTCACTTTCCATAATTACTTTCACAGGCCTTGTTGTAGTGAAGAAAAGATCTTATGCTGCTTTCTGATCTCTGTTTTTTTCTGAAGTTTGTCTATTGAGCATTTTTCTCTCCATGTATGGTTCGATTCTAAGAACTTAAGCAAAACTCTGAGTGCAGAATTAGTGCAATGGTTCAGTAATTTGCACATTCTCTTGCATTCCTTTCATTACATGCTAATCTTTTCCAATCTCTATCCCACCCAGTCTTGTTTCATATTTATTGACACGGAGCTGTTAGCACTTGAACTGGCCCTTCTGCAACTTTTTAAACAGTTCAGTACAGTACAGTAGGTATTTTATCTGCATATGGTACATGTTGATTTTACAGCTGGTCTATTGCATGTCATACCTCATTTTCTAATGGATTCAGTTACCAAATATATTCTCTCTTTACAAATGTTTCTGTCATTTTATAATCCTTTTTGTAAGTGGTTTGGTATTGTTTTCAATCTTCCCTTAATCTCATTTGTTTCTATCAGATAGCTCCTGTGATTACTCTTGAGTACTCCTATCTCAACATTTTTCTTGTGATTGCTCAAATCTTCTTATACCTAATTTTATTTTTCTTCTATATTCCTCTATTTGTTGATATTCTTGACTCAGACAGCTTTTCTTATGCCTTGCTCTTTTGTGACTTGATGTACAACTTGCTATTGCCCAATGATTTCATCATCCTTGGCTATCATGATAGTTTGTTCTGAAACTCACTTGGATCTTTGACAGCAATAATTCATGATCTATGCTACAATCTCCACATGGAAGCATCTAGCTAACTGGATTGGACTTTTCCATCTACTGTTTCCTATTGTATAATCTTTTTTGATTCTGGTGTTATCAATCCAGGAATGTCCATGTGCAGTATCTGAGTTCATCTTGCTAAAAGCAGGAAATGGCAATAAACAAAGGCCTCTCTTCATGAAATTCAAAAACCCTGCATTATTGTGATTATCCTATCCAAATTTTCCTATGATTCTAGGTTACTTAGGTTCTTCCAAATTTGCATTTTAATCACCTAGCTACTAGCAACATGTTGTTTTCTGATGCTGCATTTAGATCATTATCCTTTATATCAGCCAAAGGCCAGGAATATTAAACACTACTAAAGATAGTAAAATAAAATAAAGTAAAACTTTAGATAATATCAAGGTGGTCAACAAACTGAGTTATAACTGCATTAGTTGGTGCCTCTTTTTTATGCTGCTACAATTTGGGTTATAGAGGATTTGAAGTCTATGAAAAGTAAATTCATAAAAGTTATCTGTTTTTCCAAGGTATTGATGAGGCAGGAGTAAGATGTAAGTATTACAGATGTTCATATAGATGGTGGAGTAAAATAATACATGATGAGAAGTTTCAATATCCCTGGTTCCACACAAGCAAACACATTTCTTGTATGGGATCTTAGAATTTCTTCCCTGTAATAATGTCAAAGACAAAATATTATGCATAGTCGAGAAAAACCTGCTTTCCTTAACTTGTGAAATATAAGCAAGGAGTGTTAACTGGCCACTTCCTAGAAGCCCTTTGCCATCCAGGCCCTGTTTTGCTTCGTCAGTCACAAGATACTTCCTTTATTATTGTATTACACATTTTAGTGCCTAAGGTTAAGCCACAAAGCAAAACTATCATTTCTTTTTCTTTTATTCTGAGTATTCAATATATACCATAGAAACTTCCACAAGTACACAGATTAACACAATGCAATATGCAGCATTCTCAAGTTCCTTGCTTCTCCTATGATATGGATGGGCCACTCAAGTTCTGTGGGCCAGATACAACTCTCAGGAGCTGCCTATCTGGCCTGCCCTCTCCCCCACCTTACATGCCCCTAGGCAGTCCACCAGTCAGCTGACTGGCAGGCTTCAAGGGATCACTTTGGATGGGAGAAAGGAGGAAACACAACTTCCCTTTTCTGTTAAACAATGATTATAGGCTTTCTGCTGGGAGGAAAGTCCCATATATATCATGGGGAAGTAGGCACTGGATATTGCCCTCAGTATTTAAAAGTTTACCCACCCTGAACTTACAACCTCATAGGCTGCATTCAGACATAGCAAGAGAGTATGAATTAACTAGACTAAGAATTACTATTGTGCCATCCACGCTATCTCCTTTTTTCCCCTCTCTCATATATATAAATGCAAAATATCTGTGTTTGTTCAACCAACATTATCTACCCATTAAATTATGATATTGATATTTAACTTCTGTCTATAATTCTGACTTGCAAACTAGGTTCAAATCTTTAATTGGACATTTGTTTGCAGTCCACAGTTAAAAAGAAAAGCTTTTATCACACAGCCTCATCTCTAAAAGGAAACTAGTTTAACAAACTTCAGAAGTTTTGCATTACAGAATACAACTGAAAAGAGCAGAAGTAAAGTATGGAACATTCAGATGCAATGTTAATTTTCCTTCTGATTAACCACACTTTTTTGAGAGAGTTACACGTGAAAATAACAATAAAATAGAAATACTAAAATCTAACCAAGACAGCCAATTTGGCATAGAGATTAAGGCATCAGGCTAGAAACTGGGAGACCATGAGTTGTAGTCCTGCCTTAGATACTAAGCCATCTGAGTGACTTTGGGCCGGTCACTCTTTCTCAGCCCTAGGAAGGAGGCAATGGCAAATCACTTCTGAAAAACTTTGCCCAGAAAATTGCAGGGACTTGTCAAGGTAGTCACCAGGAGTCAACAGTGACTCAATGGCACACACACATTACCTCAACTGAGGATACCTTTAAAATAAATTTATCTAATTGATTAGCTGTCTTAATGTGCAAACATATTTTTCAATATGCTAGTTTAATCAAGTTGGAATTGACAACAAAGATACAGAAATAGTGGGTAACTTCTGCCTTTTAGGATTAACTATTGATAGTAAAGGAGCCAGCATTCAAGAAATATGCCCTGACTAGCACTTGGTAGAGTAGCAGTTAAGGCCCTGGAAAAATATTCAGATACCAGGATGGGCCTATATCTGTAAGATTGCTGAGAATACCATGGATGGCCCGTAGAACAAACAAATGGACCATCAAACAAGTTCTCACTTGGGCACAAATGGTCAGGCTCAAATCATCATACTTAGGACACATTATGTGAAGACCTAGCTTTCTGGAGAAGTCTATAATGCTGGAAAGGTGGAAGGAAAGAGGAGAGGAGGACAACCAGCAAGGTGGATGGACTCAATTACAGCAGTAATGGGTGCACTGCTGGAAGACCTGAAGGACCAAATTAGGGACACATTGTCTGAAGAAAATCTATGATCACTAAGAGTCAACACCAACCTGGTGGCACATAATCAATTTTAAACTAGAGAACATTTCAAAAAAAGGAATTCCCAGTTCTCTGATTTCAAACTATACATACATAAAATGTTACCCCAGTAACAAGTGACATTTTTAGATTAAAGAATTTGATTTTGTTCATTTCCCTGGAGGCTAGCATGACAGGAGATGATATCACTGTGCTTTAAGTATAATATTATTTGACAGACTAATGTATACATGGAGGAACATTTACTATTGGCAGAATTCTAGTAAAACTTGGAATGTTGCCAATATTATGACAGAAACAGCAAGTTTATGCTTTTCACAACAATTTAAAAGAAAAGTTTCGTTGAAAATCAGACCCACAAAATAGGAAGAGTTTCACTAGTTCTGATATGCACAAAATAGACTGAGAGCTGTAATCTGATGAATAAGAATAAGCTCTGCAGGTTAATTCTACTGGCCAAAACAGAAGTATAATATATCTGGCTAAGTACACTAGATGACACTTAATACTGTGTTTTGAGAGAATTAAATGAGAAATAAAGCACCTGGTCCTACTCTGCTTGAATTGTGAAAAGGGAAAGCCCTTAAGAAGAGCCCTTACAGACCCAACATTTAGTTTTCTACTACTTATTCAAAGACGTATTTTTGTCAGTTTTCTATCCTTTTTGCTAGTTACAGTTTCAAGCAATTATTTCTAACCTAATAGATTGTACTTCCTTTTTAATGACATAACGGAATCCACAAAATGTGCTCTACAAATAAAACCTGTGACAGAACTTACAATTGCTAATGACTCCTCCAAGTGGATCACCTTTGAAGTCAAACTCAATGTCCATATATTTTCCCTGGAAAGAGAATACAAAAAAATAAGACTGAAATGTTTCCTTTGATTTACATGCTGCATAGCAAGTTCAGTGTTTTGAGATATACATTTAAATGTAAAAAATATTTAACAATATTGAACCAATCTAAATTGTGTTACTTTAAATAGATCATATTGTATAAAGCATTGTTCTTATAGGCTCATTTATCTCACAGCCTATATAAGAACAATGTCATTAAATTAGTTTTTGTAAGTAACTTTAAAAAATCCATACATTTATCCTTTGGAAATTTCTAAGAGTTTCTAAGAACACTTCTGTTGTGAAGGTTTCATACAAACAAACACACATGCAGACCAATGATCTAATATGGGTAAGCAAATTGTATGGATTTTCTTCTCTTAACCATCAGATTGTAAAGGTTGTTCTTTCAAAATGTTCCCTGCTTTATGGGACTGAGATAGGGCAGGCTTCATACATTCACTGTAATATCGTATGTGTGTGTGTAGATGGGTGTGTGTGCGTGTATTGTGATCATACATGGGAAGCCACAAAGCTTGAAATTTCCAAAGAGATCTTTGGATTTGGACTAAATTTAGGTATATTGCCTTGAGCTCCTGAATGGATGGATGGAAGGAAGAAAAGAGTACAAACAGGCATGCAGCTGGTTCCAAAGCAATCTAAACCTGTTTTTTGGCTCGTGAAATCTAGACTTTGGGGCACATCTTTAACGTAACCCCTACACATGAGGTCCAAGTTTCCAAACCAGAGAAAAGAAAAACACTGCAAATAGCACAAAGGATTTTCAGTAAAAGTAAGGTACCCTAACTTCCAAAATAATGGAATAAAGCCCCTTGCCACTGCTGGTCTGGGCAGATACTGCCAGTCCCTTGCTACTATTGTTTCTCCTACAAAAAAAAAGGTTCAGCCTTTCTCCTTACGATTTAATTTTTTCACTTCAGAGTTCATTTCAGATAGTTGTTCAATAACTACTTTAAACAAGAATAAGGAGTATTACTATTTACTGCGATAACAACAATAAAGGCCACATCAGGAAAAACTATCAACAAGTCATAATGCCAATGTGGTTTCTACAGATTTTCATAACTGCAGAGGCATGTCTTTCGTGTAATCTCCAACATTTTCTACGTAAATCAGCAAGTTCAAAACTGTCGCATGTTCTATATGTAGGACTAACAGTTATATTTTAGGAACATTATATTGTGCTACGCTCAACTGTGCAGAGGGAAACAGCGAGTCATTTGTTATTTGACTTGGGCTTTGACCTGAACTTCGCTCAGATGGATCAGAGTTGAAGGGAAACTAACCAACAGCAGAATGTTCAGAAATGACAATGCTGATTTGATTGAAGATAGATATGGCCAACCTGCTGCCCTTTGCAAGCTATCAGTTCATTGTTATGAGAAAAGCCATTTGTCCCTTCCTGGCAAACACTGAGAAAGAAAAGGGGGGTGCCAGAGAGGGTGATCTGACACATTTCTGTTTCTAATGCTGCCCACTATTGGCATATAATTTGAACTCAACAAATTATTTCTCTGGAAAGGTAGCCCACAGCTACATACAGAGCAGGCACAAAACAAAACAAAAAAAAGGAAAAAAGTAGGAAAAACCAGATAACAGACAGTATCATTTCAGATAGGAGAGCTTAAGCAAGATGCCCTAGAGCCAGCCTCATTATTCTTACTGCCCTTCACTTGCTCTGTTCCATGGCCCCAATGTGCAGCATTGCCTAAAAGGGAGGAACACAGTCAGTAAAAAGGAAGAACAGAGCCAGAGAATATTGGGGGGGGAGGCAGGGTCTCAAGAAATGTCTATGATTCTGATCTGCTTTGCTTTCTGATTTCTGACATCAGATCTGAAAAGAGAGCCTCACATAAGACAGCAAGAAAACACGTTGCAAAGACGAGGGGGTGGGAACAGATATAAATACAATGACTGTAATTTGAAAGGGTGTTCTAAAGTACGTGAATAGAATGTAGGCATGCAGTGAAGGTGACAGCCAATGGTTTCACCCTATCTGGGCTTTGTGTTCCGCTGGTTTTATAGACCCTCTTGAAGGTCCTGCTATATACTAAGATAAAGGGACAACTTAAATAAACTTAAATAAAAGCCCTTTTTTCATGGTCAATGGACCAATGACAGAAACAACCCTTGTATCTCTATGGGACAAAAATAAAATATGTGTACAGGTAGTCCTCACTTAACTACCACAATTGGGATAGGCAACTCTGTCGCTAAGCAATGCGGTCATTAAGCAAGACATCACGTGATCATGACGGACTTACATCACTTTCCCTGCGGTTAAGTGAATCACCGCCATCATTAAGCAAGACATCATGACTTGTGATTTCACTGCCAGCTTCTCCATTGGCTCTGCTTGTTGGAAACCGGTTGTAAAGCATGCAAATGGTGATCACGTGACTGAGGGAGCTGCAACTGTTGTCAATGCCCACCGGTTGCGAAGTGCCCAGATCTCAGTCACGTGAACAAGGGGACGCTGTGACAGTTATAAGTGCAAGGACTTGTTGTAAAGTTACTTTAGTGCCGTTGTAACTTTGAACAGTCGCTAAACAGGGCAGTTGTTAAGTGAGGACTACCTGTATTAACAGCAATATAATGAAGTAACATACCCAGTACCTGACTTTGTAAAAGTGCTCATTTTTGCCACATTCTCTCATACACACACACACACGCACACTCATATACACACTATTTTTGTCACATGGCTTTTAGACAACCAACTAAGCCAACAATAATCTAAATCTAAATCTAAATTATAATTATGCAGTCAGACAGTCCTAAATTTATCCTGCTATTGGCTAAGATGTGATGTAGCCCTCTTGTCTCTGTGTTGGTACATTTCTCCAAAAGAATGTCTACCTCAAGCACAAAATACTTCTATGATACATTTTCATTCACAAAGGACTTTTGTTTCAAGCCTACTAGCTATAGTTCTTAATAAATAGATAATTTTTTCCCAATTATATGTATTCATCATTGTACTCAATCCATTGTCTAACTACATACATTAACCTGATTTTAAGGAATAATATATATTATTTGACATGAGTCCATCACATATGTTCAGCTTTCAATACTTAGGGCAGTATTTTCTCAACCTTGGCAACTTTAAAATGGGTGGCTGGAGAATTTGGGGAGTTGCTGTCCACCCATCTTAAAGTTGCCAAGGTTGAGAAATACTGATTTAGGGTATAAAGTTGCAGCAAGCACTTCATTCTTTTATTCAAGGTATTTCCTGGAATACCACAGCAAGAGTCCTGAAAACAGTTACCTACATCTAAGTATGACAAATCTGGCTATGCCACAGTATTGGGTTAAATCCAATATTCCTCTACGAACAGAAAGAGAGTTGCATTTGCAGATGAGACCCCAGAAGAACCTGGGGAAGAACTGTACATATATAATTTCCTTAACAGAAAGACTAAGGAAAAACGAAACACTAATCAGTATGGAACATTTATTCTACATTCCACTGTAGTTCTATCATTTCAGTAATATTGATTAGCTCTCTGACCAAATTACTTGCATGTTTTTACTTACAAATCTAGATGAGTTATCATTTCTTACAGTTTTGGCATTTCCAAAGGCTGGTAGGAAGAAAAAAGAAAATTAAACATATGCATGATTTAGCAGTAAAGCTGAGCATATATTCAAAAATACAGTTACTACTTAAGACTGCACTGAATAAATTAGATAATTCAAAATGAAGCAGTCATAATTTAAAGAAGTTTAATGTAAATGGAAACAAAATAAGTAGGAATTCTACAGCTAGTGTAATGGCCTATGTACAGCATTTTATTACAATACATTAGAATTTATTCAAGATATGATGGCCTGTTCATTAATGCATTGGTAGTTAATAGTTTGCCATTAGCATCCATTTTTACCTAAGAAAGATCTGGATTTCGAGCGCTCAACTTAGAGGGCCAAAGTAAGTATGTATGCACTGCATATGTAAGTTTAGCCAAGTGTCAGAGTTACAAAGAGAGATAGGGCGTACAGGTAAAGCGAGAAGCAGTGACTGGTAGTGCATTATCAGGCCTACTAGGTCCACACTGAGGGATACAGCCATAATCCTAGCATGGTTTTGCAGGCAAATGTCTCAGGTTCAAACCCCAGTAATTCCAAGTGGGAACGGGAAAGGATCCTGTCTGAAAATCTGGAAAGTAGGGACCCATCAATGCAAACAATGCTGAAATAGATGGGTAAAAGGTCTGATTCAGTATTAATGAGCAGTTTTACATGCTCATTAATGTCCCTACAGAGTTCTGTTTCTTAGATATACAATTTCATGAATAACTCTGACAGTGATGATGGGTAATTTCCAAATATCATGTCCAACTACTGTACAACCTTGTATGAACAAATAGTTGACTCCCAAACTTAGCTATTTCATCCAAACCATCATCTTATGGGATTATGGGCTGTATTTTCCCTGGTTTCTGCAAACCAGAAAATGAGGAGGGGAATCACGAACAGCTAGAGTGAGTATATGATCATGCTTATTCATGTAACGCTAAGCCATAGTTTGGTGTGATGTCTGAACTCTACTGTTCTCTATTACACTGACATAATTACTAGTTCATAGGGTTTTACAATCCATCCCAAAGTGAACAAATTACCCTTATTTTTGTCCCACACCATATTCTGTGGAATTAATGTGTTAGGTTACTTTGTGCTAATTGTATTAAATGGTGACCTTCTAATGTGGGTAAAATGGTAATTCTAATGTGACAAAGAAGTGTGCTGATTTTCCTTGCTCCCATACATAAGCGAACATTCAAATCAACTGGATATTTGAAATGTTATTTCTGCTTCACTAAGTTTGGATTTTGAAACTTCCCTGGATCAAAGCACCGAAGCCAGCCAGAAGGCAAAGCGTATGCTGAAATAATTGTTCTAAAAATTTAATATCGTGCAGAATTCACAAGCAATAAATCATCTTCCAGTCATCAGGCTGCATATCATTAAGCATGAGACTAAAACACTAGGACCATTTATATATGCATGCAGAATCAAATACAAATGGTCTATTATAAGAGTGTAGAGGCAAATTCTTCATTTCACCATAAGTTCATTGTTTCCCTATGTTCCCCTACAGTAGCTGGAATGCAAAACTCAGTCATTGGTAACTTAGGCAAGCAAATATATAGGACATTTTTGTACAATAATTTCATGCAGTGGCAAAAGACAATGCAATCTAAATAAAGTTAAGACTAAAGCAAAACTGGTTCCAACTTGTTCTTTAATAAAGCAAACATATTTGTCAACTTTTACATGACAAATATTTGGAAAGAAGATATATATAAAACAGTGTTACTCAGATCAAAGCAGAAGGGCAATAGATGTTGTTACACCATTTATTTGCCAGAAGTAAAAATTCCTGCAGCTGACATAATACTTTTTACCATGAATATTTCAAAGATGTTACAGTCTCTGAAATGGCAGCAAGCAGGGAAGTAGTTTTCTACACACACTTCACCTTCATTCCCATCCAATATGGTATGGCAGTGATGGGCATGCCCCGGTATGCCCATGTAACACCTCTGCTTTGTGAGCTGCACTGGCTGCCAGGTGGTTTCCAGGTACAATCCAAGGTGCTGGTTGCTACCTATAAAGCCCTACATGGCATATGGCCTGGTTACTTGAGGGACTACCTATCCCCCATAGTATCTGCCTGGCCAATTAAATCCTGCAGGGTTGGTGCGCTCCAGGTTCCTTCAATTAAACAATGCCACCTATTGAGACCTGGAAGTGCGCCTTCTCTGTAGCAGCGCCTGCCCTCTGGAATGAGGTTCCTCCTGAGATTCAAATGGCCCACACCCTACTGGCATTTCAAAGGGCCCCAAAGATGTGGCACTTCGCCCAGGCCTTTGGTGAGGATGAGTGATGCCCCTTTCTTCCTTTTCCTTGTTCCCACCTGGGTTTGTTTCCTTTTCCATCTTTGTTCTTTTGTCTTGTGCGGTTTTTGTCTTGTTGTTTGTTTTTAAATGTTTTTAACAATTGGGAGTCAAGCAGCATATAAATTTAATAAATTATTATCTGTAACTTGATGCCTTTCTGATTTAAAAGTTAAAATCATGTAAACTGACAGGGGATAACAGCTGGGCAACAGATAACAGTATTCTACAAGTCCATCTCTACCAAACAGCTGACTGGCAAAATTTTAACTTTTAAATAGCTAACGCTGTTTAAAGGAAATTACAAAGTTGGGTGATTTTGAGCCAGTCACACTCTCTCAGCCCAACTCACCTCACAGGATTGTTGTGGGGAAAACAGGAAGAGGAAGGAGTATTAGGTATGTTTGCCCCCTTGAGTTATTTATAAAAATAATAAAGGCAGGATTAAAAAAAAGTCTTTAAAAAATCTACAAATATACTTCTTGTGCTGGCAATACCAACCACATTGTTTACTCTGCACTGACTGCCAGGATCCATATTTTCAGTTAGGGCTCTCTTTACAACACTCGTCAATCCTTATATTAGTTTTGCCCCCTTAACACCTCCCCCAAAAGCTTTATGTATGTCATGCAGTAGAAATTACCCTAGAGTTTGAGAATATGATATTGCAAAAGTTTTAATAGCTTTATTCCTGTACTATACTAAAGGATTGGTAGCCACTTCAAACATAAACCACATAAAAAGCTATGTGAAAAATAGCTTCCCTTTTGGTTTGGCTGATCTTTTGACAATGCTGGTGAAAACTCACCCCAAGTGCCCAGAGGAAAAGATCCCTAAAGAGCAAATGTTAACTACCACAGGAGCTCGTTCCATAGGACTGTCCTGTTGGAAGGAGCCTAGATATGTCTTAATTCTTAAATGGTTATTTATGGTATTTTTATATACCATTGTTTGTATTTATTGTAAATCATTTTGGGAAGAGTCTTATCTGAAAAGGTGGGACGTAAACAATCTCAGTAAATAAATAGCAACATGCCTGCTCATACTTTACCTAAGATCAAATGTACTAGTTTAATAAGATATATCATTTGCAAATACAGCATATGTATTATTTTGTCATTTATTGTCTGTAAGTCTGTTTTTCCAGTCCTAGTAGCATTCTAATGGCATTATACTTCCAAAAGATAGCAAAATATTCTTTAAGAATGTTATTTGAATACTGCTTTGCATGTTTAAAAGGAAGAAAGAAAATTAATGGCAGAAACTCAGGCTATGACAAATATGGCCAACTGTGAATCAGATAAAGGTAGAATGCAAGCAAGTATGTGGGAGTTAAACATAGCTATAAGCTATAAGTATGTCCCTATTGTGAATGTTTTGCAGAGCTGAATAATTTATCACAATCTGATGTTTTTGCTGTACATTCAAGAATTATTAATAAACTTCTACCAAATCTCCATCAGTATTAGTTACTAGCCCCTTACCTTCAAGCACTGGATTAGACTGTAAAAGTTGTTCTTTTACTTGATTAACTTCTGCTCCCTTGCCACAAACTGCTGCTACGTAAGACATGACAAGTTTGCTGGCTTCTATAGGTTATAAAAGAGAGAAAAAATCAGTTATATTCCACACAAAATAGTTTATAGTACAAATCCCTGAATCACTCAGATATACAGTAATGCACTTCTCAAGTTTATCCTTGTTTTCTACATTTATTTTTGTTTATTATCTTGGTAACATAGTGTACTTTTATCAGAGTGACAATGAAGGAAGACATGTATGAATTATTTGTCTAGTATTGTTTAATATATTTATATCCTGTCTTTTCACTCAGGAATTCAAGGAGGCCTACATAGCACACCCTTTCCTCACAAAAACCCTGTAAGTTAGGTTGAGCTGACAGAGAATGACTGGCCCAAAGTCTCCCAATGAACTTCGATGGCTGAAGGTTACATCTAATAGAGGCATTTGATAAAGGAGAAAATAGGGAACAGGTCTCCATACCATCTACTAAGTCTTACGTTAGTCCTCTATTAAAAGAACACCGTAGCCTTGAAATCAGTGTATGCAAGTCAGTAAATGTAATATAACAATAATCTGAAGCATCCAAATAAAACTACATTTTATTTGATTTTGAGTTTTGAGTATTGATATTGCATCAACGTTTGCTACCTCTTACCAATTACTAAACCCAGATCAAAGTCTTGTTAGACTGTTGGACCAGGATATTGGGAATTACTATCTTCAAACAGCCAGTATGGTGTAGTGGTTAAGGCACCAGGCTAGAAACTGGAAGACCATAAGTTCTAGTCCTGACTGAGTCATGAAGCCAGCTGGGTGACCTTTGGCCAGTCACTCTCTCTCAGCCCTAGGAAGGAGGCAATGGCAAACCACTTCCAAAAAACCTT